CAATTTTGACATTAATTTGAGTCATAACAGACGCGAAATATAGCTCAATCAAACGTACTTTTCGTCGAGCAACGAACTGTTCAGTCTCGGAGCACTTAATTTTACATGACATGTTTGTTTACGTCTCATCTTTTATGTCAAAAATGGATTCCGTCACGTGTAAAATTAGTTATTTCTAAGTGTGTGGGTGTTTATTTAATACCCCTTTTGGGCTATAGGGGGGCTTTAATAATGGCTATACATATTTGAAATATCACACTTTTTAGCACCAGTGTGCTGTAATTAGAACATGAGCGATAATTGGTACGGTGATGGTATCCGCATAAGGAAAAACATCTATCAAAACTAAGCAGATTTTGAGGTCACAATTTCAAGATTTTTTTAAACGTTAACATACAATTCCAAATTTTCATTCAAACATTCTTTCTTAGCCTTAACTTTTACGATCACAACAAATTTGTTGTTATTTCTAAGTTGTGAAATACATTGGATAACCGCCGTAACACGGCGTGGCGTTGTAATTATTTCTTCCCTGTATTTGCATATCTAATCCGGTTTAAAATGCTAATTATCTGATTGAGCTCCCACTCGATAACTTTCTTAAGTTTATTGACCAATCGGTTTTATTCAAGTATCAATCACTCCTTCAACTACTTACACGGGCAACGGCTGAGGACTTCGCGATGACATTACTCAACACACGTACATCCATTCATCAGACTATATACATTGCATGTTTGTTCAGAAACGTAAAACGGAAACCGCAGCAGAGTACATGGCAATCTGCACTACTGTACGCTCGTGTTATCATGTGCCATATTTGTAAGCATGTGCCGCTAACGATGCGTATGATTTTCCATGACTAATACCGTATGTCTCGCTGTTTTGGATTGACTTTGTTATGAGGAAACGCTTTCCGTGTTTAACTTTCGGATTTTAATGCTTAAACCAACCACCACCGCTCGAGCGATGGTAATGAAAATTGGTGCTGAACTTGCAAATGCCGCACACTTAAATTTCATACCTGACACAAACCCTTTAATTTTGTAAGCATGTACACTGAAACAAATCGACATGTACCGTTTATTGGATACATCTTATAACATAGCAATGTCAGCAGATTTATTCATTCTATGTGATGATTGATAGATTCCATTGGATTATCACTTATAAACTATGACTGCGATATGGAATGATTTCTATCGTAATTTCACATACTTAGTACTTGATAAAACTTTGCTTTGAATGTGGTTAGCGATAGGTAAGATGTATTTGAATATTGTCTGATATATTTCATGGTGAAAAACTGTTGATATGTCATGGGAGAGAACAGAAATCTAGAAACTAATGGAAAATCATATAAGTTTGCACTATGAGAAAATCCAGTAAAATATACCTGTTTTCATGATGAATATTGCTCACTAAAAGATATATCTTATAAGATAATCATGTATATTTTATTGGAATTGCTTTTAACGACTTTTGACGTTTTTTGATATGTCGCGTGTTAACATCCATGTAGAAACTATTGGACAGTCATTTAAGTTTGCAGTATAGTAAAACATGTATATCTCATTGGAATAGCTTCCTTTGATTTTTGAGGTTTAATGATCTATCCCAATCATTATATAGTCATATTGATTTGCCTTTTAAGAAATCCAACAGCAAACATTTGTTTTGTCATGGTTTTCTGGGATGAATATCGCTCCCAATTAAATACATCTTACATGATTGTTCTTCATAAATTATTGAAACAATTTTCAACGATGTTATCGTACACTCATTAAAATGATTAGTCGAACTAAATATTGCTAACGACAATGATACTGTATAGAATAATCTTTGTTTGTTATTGTTCCATTAGATAAGGGGTTGCGGAAAAGAATGTATTGAGATCAAAAAAAATGATTCTACTGCAATATTTACTTTGCTAAGATTATAATTGTAAGCCTTCTACACGGCTAATTCAGATTCCAGCACTAGTACCCGAACTTCATGAACCAGTTCCATGAACTCATATAATGTAGTCGTTGTTTTATTGCACACAGGAGCATTAAGAAAGATTTGAATACACGAAACCACCGAAACGGAGCATAAATTTGTTATTTTTCTTCACTCTAGCAAAACGAGCATAACGTTGCACTACATTCCATGTCGGGAGAGCTGTTCTTACTTCGTGCTAATTGAACGAGCTCAATATTGAAATCAGCCGTGGCCCAGTGGAATCGAGCGCAGACACCGAATGCATTCACACCTCAACAGTTCTGGATCGAATCCCAAATCAGCTACAATAAAAAAAAGACAACTGTGAAAGCTCCCATTGCCTGATGTTTATTTTTCGATTTATTTTTAGAAATCGATTAAATATATGTGTCAAAAAAAGAAGTAAATTTCATGTGATTATCACATAAACTTTACTTAGATTGATTTGTTACACATATATTATATTGTGGTAAAAAGTAAAGCTTATGCTTATGGGTTTCAAATCCATTTCAGTTCATTATTATAATTTGACCGATTTTCATTTATCATATGACGATCATATAAAACTTACCAAATTATCAGCATTGAAAATGTATCAGATATTCATATAGAATTTACCTGACACATGTTCAATCATATCATTTTCAATGGATTATCTTATAGCGCAAATTTATAAGATTTCCACATAACAGGAATATGTCATATTGGTTCAGTGTAGCCCGAGCGGCCGGTACGACTCGTTCGGGAGTATTGATCGAACATCTCAAGAAAGCTACCCGGGTCATAAAAGATGCATGAGTTGAAATCAAAAGTATAAATATAAATGAACGGAAAGTTACACTCATTACTCGGCCGCACTTGCTGTGCTCGCTTCTCATGTTATGATATAATTTAGAAAACTGAAATTGTGCACTGGCAGTGCGTAATAATCTAGCGCTGCCTGTAATGCGTTCAATGGGATTCAGTTTTATAATTGTAACTTGAAGTGCACTAAATTTAGTTTGCAAAAAATTCGATATTTCAAATATCTACTGAAAAATAATTGAGATACGGAACCCCAGGGTACAGACAATGTATGTTTTTCAATAACAACACACTAAAAAAATCTGAATTTTACTGGTGATGTAAACATCCATGCATCCACGGGCCTCCCTTAGCTCAGTCGGTAAAGGCGCAGCTACAAAGCAAGACCATGCTGGAGGTGGCTGGGTTCGATTCCCGGTCCGGTCTTGGAATTTTTCGGGTTGGAAAATTTCACGACTTCCCTGGGCATAGAGTATGATTGTACCTGCCACACAATTATACTAATGCAAAAATGGTACAGGCATCGAAAGCTCTCAATTAATAACTGTGGAAGTGCATCTAGAACACTAAGTTGAGAGCACGCAATAAGCTAATAATGCCATACGCAATAAGCTTGAAATGCGAAGAAGAAGAAGAATAAACATCCATGCATGCAAACATTCACGCATGTAAACTTCCTTTTCACGTAAACTAGCAGCTTGCAAGAAATGTTGCAAACAAAGGTGGAAAGTTGCATACAATATATGGAATATTGCATGACATGTCTCATAAATTTACATGATTTATAATGTAAATTTGTATGATTTATGACGCTCCATTTATGCGCATCATAGTAACGGAAATTTACACTACTTTTTTTAGCTGTGAAGAGATATTTCAAGTATCCAGGATCAGATTTACTCTAGTATTACAGATTCTAAGAAGACACATCCAATAATGAAAGAATTAGGCCAAATAAAAAAGTTCTAGTCTGTCAAAGTGCCCTGAGGTAAAATTGACCTAAAGGTATACACACTAAAAAAATCTGAATTTTACTGGTGATGTAATCATCCATGCATGCAAACATTCACGCATGTAAACTTCCTTTTCACGTAAACTAGCAGCTTGCAAGAAATGTTGCAAACAAAGGTGGAAAGTTGCATACAATATATGGAATATTGCATGACATGTCTCATAAATTTACATGATTTATAATGTAAATTTGTATGATTTATGACGCTCCATTTATGTGCATCATAGTAACGGAAATTTACACTACTTTTTTTAGCTGTGTAGGTAAAACGTTAACATATCCCAAGAATCTTATTGTTTATTTAGCCACGACTTGCTGTAAATTGATTAAATTGGTATTCATAGTTAATGTTCAATTGATAAATTAGTTAAGTTTTTTCACATTTTCTAAAAATTCACTTGTGATTTTGCAAATCACATCACAATGTATCATAATTGAGAATCTCAATGATTCATTTTACTACTGCGCGTTTATCTAAAGTTAATTCGACTGAGCGAGGTCAAAATACATAGAATAATGAATCAAAACACAGCGAGTATTAGAGCAAGTATCGAATTTGGAAAATATCGAGTTAGGGAGAGAGCAATGACTGCGAAATTGATGGGATATTGAAATTTATCGAGTAAGCATAAATATCGAGTTTCAGAATATTGAGTAAAAGATAGTTGACTGTAGTATTATATTACTAGCAAATCAATCGTACGAAAACAATCATAAATTTTAATCAATTGGGCTAAGAAATTTAAATCAGTCAGAAAGATTTTTTTTTCTTTAATATTCCGAATTTTACATATAAATAATTATACTAAAATCAATACTAAATACCAAAATCACTCAAGTGCAACGTGCCACAGAATTTATCTTGCACTGGTACAAATAGAAACGGGTGCTGTTTTCACACCCGCTCTCGCAAGTCCCTGTTGTCTGAAATCTGATATGCTCACGGTGAGATACCGAGCAAGCAATCGTATTTGAAGCTAAAGTCGAGACGAGTTTGTGTGTAAACAATCAATTGAACCTCGTCGAAGGGGTACAACAAAGTCAGCAAACGTATAAACATGTAGCGATTTATGGGCTAGTCCATATCTGATCGGCCTTGTATGCAAATATGTCGCTGATACTTGTTACACCGATGATTGTAAAGCTTAGAACCGCTACTGGTTGACTTATTTACTGATCTATGTCTTGTTTTCCTTTCCAGATAGCTTAGCATGTCAGAACGCCGTGGTACGAAGGCTCTAGAACTATGGTGTCGCCGCGTCACCGAGGGCTATAAGGATGTTCGAGTCACAAACATGAGCACCTCCTGGCGCGACGGCCTCGCTTTCTGTGCAATTATCCACAACTTTCGTCCGGACTTGATGTGAGTATGATTTCTAAATTGTTTGTGAGTGAGTTGGATTATGAAGGAGAGTTTTTTGACGCTTATTTTCGTTTGCATGATGGTTCGGTTTTGGCATTTTCAAATAACTTTCTTTGTAATGCGTGTCTTTTAGAATAGAACTGAATATGAGATCGAAATGGTTAAAATAGGTAGTTGGAAAATTCACAATAATGTGCTATAGCTCAAATTACGCTTTTATTTTGCTTGGTTAAAAATTATGTTTATTATTCCAGTAATTTTTTTCGTCTCTTACTCAAGTAACCATAAGAATTAGTTTAAAGCATTAAAATCTGCTTTATTTAAGCATGCTAATAAGCCCTTAGACAGCACTGCTAATGCTAAGAAGCTCTCAATCAGTATTGCTTATGCTAAAAGCTAATGCTAGCGTGCCCTTAAACAGAATTATATTAGCATGAGCAATGCTTGTTAATATGTTTACAGCAAAATCACGCGGTCAGTATTTGTATGTTTTAGTGAGTTGTATGTCTCAAAAATTTTTATAAACACCAACATAAGAGCTTGACAAAGATGATTGACGGATGCCTTATCACGGCGCAAAAATGATTCCGTTGCACCTCGTTTTCTTAAAAAGAGACGGTATAATAATGCTCTATCTTTGTCTCTTCGCCGATGGCAGACACAAAGCCACTGCTGCCAACCGTTATGGATCTTTCGGTTGCGTTCGGGTGTAAAGCAAAAATCAATCTCACCACAGTTTGGTGAGTTTTGTTTAAATCTTTTAAATTTGTCGAACCTCTTAACGGAATCCCTTTATGAAGAGCTTTGAGTGTGTTGGTTTATTTCCTTTTAATTCCGTTATGATTGCTTATCTTTTGACTTATACGCGTATTTCGTCTACTGCTTGCAGACTTCATCAGTTCATGAGTGGTGTTGAGTAATTGGCACTGATGAAGTTTGCAAGTAGTAGCCGAAATACGCGTATATGTCAAAAGATAATTATAACGGAATTATAAGGTATAAACCAACACACTCAGAGTTTTGTTTGCTTGATATTCCGTGCTGCGATATCACAGCCAGCAATCCCTAATAAACCAAATTTGCAAACATTATTTATCGTACACATCTTTGTTGATAGTGCCGGTAGAGATGAAACTTTTGGATTTCCGGCCGCAACTACATATGGACTGCCAAACCAAATTCTTGTGGGGAATTTCGAAGGCTTCTTTGTCTGAAAACACTCGGCAACGGTACGCTTCCATCCTTTCGATCCACAGCTAAGCGCTAGTCAAACGATTTGCACACACTAATCACGGCGTACCGGCAACGTTGGATTTTGCTGCCGTTCGTACAAAATGCGTTTGCGTACTTCCACTGATTCGACGCCGTTTTACCAAACTGAACAAGAATGTAAACTTGTTGTACCACGAAATAAAGTGGTGAGCTTCAGCTGTCATATAAGTTAAACATTTCAGTGGTTCGTGGAATATTTCAAAAACTACACTCGAAAGTGTAACGAAATTGAACGTGGACAGGTTTTAGTTGAGTTTTGACCAATTAAATAAAATATTTTCCTATTCTTTGTCATTAGTGTTTCAATTGTATTCGCAAATCGATTCACGTACCCCATTCTAGTCGAAATTCAAGTAATACATTATGTTTGTTTTGATTCGGTATGAAAGTTTGACAGATAAAAGAGGGGTTCGTGGATTTTCCTATGTTTCGAGGGCTGCATCGATTAGCTTGGGACCGAAGAGAGTACCAAAAGCCAAAAATTTGAGCACGTTTCTTCGGGACATTCTGGTCTTAGAGTTACCTCTACGATATTATTGTCTTACAATAAGTTACAGAAAATGCAGAAAGGTAAGTACCGGAACAGACCTATTTATATCGTGGAGTAATTTTACATTTGGGCTAGTGACCCCTTTGTTCAAACCACATTCGGCCTATGGCGGTCAGCATAGTGCCATTCAGCATAATGATCCTTCCCAAAAATGTGACTATGCCCTTGGTTGTGATAGCATCAATCATATCAGATAATAATTAAAGTCATACAGACAGTGGCTTCAATTCATTCGTACAGATTAACATTTGTCAATTATTATTCTGGTATATTATTGATTACGCTCAAAGAAAAATTCACGATAAAAGACTGGAAAATCTTGTGATTCCGTCTAATAAGCCATCTCCAAAAAAAAAATTGTCTATGTTGAAGCTTTTCTCAAACCATGGCTCTCATCTGTAAATAACATCAAATTGCACATATGTTGTTTGTTCAAAGAAGATTATGAATGTTCTCAAAGAACATGTCATGAGAAAAGAATGGGGAATTTTGTGATTGCAATTTATGAATTATGCCTATCGTCTTTAGGCCCACCGGATGATCCCCTTTTGACATATGGACATTTGGCATACTGAGGTTTGGCAAATGGACGTTAAGCCGAATGGATGTTGACAAAAAGACGTTTGGTCGAATGGACGTTTATACTAATTTAGCATTACCACATTAATTTGGCATGAAATTTTTTGAATCGTGAATAAAGAATGCTGTGAAATTTAATAAAATCAATCATAATACGTATTTTCCATTACAAGTTTGTATTAAAATAAATTTAGATCATTAGAATTTTTAGCATCTTTCAATATCGGCTCTGTACAGAAGATCAAATGCTTTTTTCTCTGTTCGTGACATAAATCCACTGCGACCAGCTATTTGATCTATTGTGGTATACCCCGTATCCTTGGTTTAGTGCATGTCGTATAACTCCATCACTATTAAGATATTATGAAGTATTCGTTTTTTTACAGTTGTCATTCTTGCCTTTATCGCTAGGATCCGACTCTATTAGGAGTGTTGGAACACCCTCTGAAGGTGCACCCCTTTGTCAGTCGAAAACGGATTCCTTCGCAACAAAATCAACAATAACATCGATCATTACCATGCATCAGAATCCTGGTCCTATTCAATCATGTCGAAAATCACATGTAATTTTTATAGCAACAAAAATAAACAAATGTTAGTTTATGCACTGTATTAATGATAGTTTTGTCCTTTTTGGCAAGTAATATTACACCATATTGTTGACACGATTGAAGAACATCCACTTTGATGTGATATCAAAATTATTTTTTTGTTTTGTATGTGTTTGACACATAAAACCTGTCATTTTCGCTTTCAGAGGATCACAATTAGCGATTTTATGATTCGTGAGCGCTCACTCTGATTCCATAATTTAGCAAACCTGTTTGTAAAAACTTAAAGTTAATAATCGAAAAAATTTCCATTTGCCGCAATTACGGCCCCAATACGTTTCTGGAATGCTCGACAAGTTCTGATAATATAGTCCGAATTCATATCTCTCCAGGTGCGGGTCAATGTTTGTCTGAGGCTTGCTGTACTGGAATGGCGTTTGGTACAGGCCTTGGCCTTCATGACGCGCCACACTGAATAATCCAAAGGGTTAAGATCGGGGCTGGATGGTGACCACATATATTTCGGCCAGAACGGCAGATGTTCCTTCAATCAATTCTGTGTGCGGTTCGAAATGTTACATTCAGTAATCCACGGAAGGACATACTTACTAAGAATGCCGATATACACCTTCGTATTCACTTTATCCCCTTCAGTGATGGTGCAAACATTATCACGCATACGGTTAACCACTTCAAGCTAGAGAACAGCGAATAAAACATAAGGAATCACTTAGATGAAAAATAACAACCTAACTATTTTTTTCTTGTTTCAATATCATCTTCTGTGGACCCCGAGTTTAGTCACTATAGGCAACAAGGCATCAAAAGTAAAAAGGACTAAGATGTGGTCCGTTTTTTTTCTTTTTTTTTCCTTGATTTGTTTTCCGTCGATCTTGTTTTCCATGCTGAGCACCAATGCTACCGACGCAAGGTAGGCAGCTCCCACACCTGGACCCTACCTATCGACCCATCAACTCATGAACCGGAGACCAACCGATTTACTTCCCTTCCGAAGGAAGACGTGATCAGAGATGTTATGCCTCAGAACATCCCGGTGGCGCCGACTGGGATTGAACCCAGACCTGCTGGGGTCAGAGGTAATTACGCTTACCACTACACCACCGGCGCTGCTAGGATGTGTTCCTTTGATTGCTGTTGATTAGCCATATTTAAATTTAATAAAATGAATTATTGATTCGACCACATTCAACTATTCAGAAAGGACAAAGCTTCTTGGTGAACGTATATCGTGATCATGAAGGATGATTTAAAATTGATAGACCGTTATTTGTGAAGTACGACAAAGAGATTTTAAGTAAATTCAAATAATTGCAGCGTAACGAAGCGTATCATGCTAAAATTATGTAATCTTTCTGACATTTCTAACACGCACTAGTGTTATCACATTTTCAAATGTAAAGTTTGTTAACCTCACTTCCACATCACCAAAACTGGCGCTTATAGAAAGTAATATATAAAAGCAGTACCGTGTGATGTCCGTTCACCGCCCGACCACCACTCGCCGCTTATTTTGTCAAAATTTGTTGAAAAAGTACTCAAAGTGAGTTCTAAAATGCGCTTTACCCACATATTCGCTCATTTAAGATGCCTGCTGATAATATTTAACCATCGACACTTATATTTCACTGTTTATTATCGAAAAATTACTTTTGTTTACATCGATATGAGCGGTGAATAGAGACCCACCAACGATCAAGGGTTCCCTTCACCGCTCACTCCAAAACTAAACTTAAAATAGGCTTACTCTTACCACTTACCAATCAGACTAAGGCCTTGTTGTCCTCTGCTGTCCGAAGAAGTCGTCTCCACTCTACTCGATCCATGGCCACACTTCGCCAGCCTCGTAGTCTGCGAAGGGTCCGCAGGTCGCCTTCTACTTGGTCGATTCACCTTGCCCGCTGCGCACCTCTTCTTCTTGTTCCTGTTGGGTCGCTTTCTAGAACCATTTTCACTGAGTCGTCGTGCGGCATTCTTACGACGTGCCCAGCCCACCGTAGTCGCCCAATTTTTGCAATGTGGACGATGGATGGTTCTCCCAGCAGCTGGTGCAATTCGTGGTTCATTCGCCTCCTCCTCGTTCCGTCATCCATCTGCACTCCACCGTAGATGGTACGCAACACCTTCCGTTCGAAAACACCAATGGCGCTTAAAATAGGCATTACTACCAATATTTCATAACAAATGCGAGTGTTTATTCAATATCTAATACCTCAATAACTTATAAACCATATAATGCGTTAAATGGCCAGAAAAGATAGACAATTCAAAAAGTAAATATTATAACTACGACATGAGCGGTGAACAAGACCCCTGGTTACATGCACTAATACGTATCGAAATCAATTTTAACAGCATTGTTTTGGATGGTTTTTATTTTATTCACTATCTTATGATAATAACCTTCAAGCTAGTGCAAAAATATGCTCAATACATTTATGGAAAGTCGATAGAGTGTAGGAGTGGCATTTTTTCATGTATTTTATCCAAATTCCCCAGACAAAATTCAAACAAAAAGCGCCAGCTCATCATATAACCAAATGAGCTGAAACTTTCGGATAATGGTTTTCTAACCTAAAAGAACAAATGTAGGCGTTAGCCCGGGGAAAATTAGAACTTTTATTTTTGTGGGAACTTCACCGTAGATGGTCTGCAACAGCTTCCGTTCGAAAACACCAAGTTCGCGTTGGTCCCTACGACCATAGTTCAGGTCTCGTGGCCGTAGAGGACCACTGTTCTAATCAGTTTCTTGTAGATAGTAAACTTCGGGCGGTGGCGAATTTAATCGAAGCTGCTGTATTAACAATCATGAATTTTCAATAGGGGACTAGAGCGGGTTTCTAAGTATTAGTACAGAAGTGTGCTGAGTAGATTTTATAAATGTGTTCGCAGAACAGCGGAGGACGTTCCAGAAGACTTAAAAGCGCACTGATGGCCAGTTTTGACAAAACATCCTCAGAGTTTTAAAGATACGAAGCTTTCAAGACTATTATGAACTGTTGTACCTATCTTTTAAGACGGAAGTCGTGCATTTCAAAATCAGCTTCATAAATATTCGAGAGGTGCATCCATTAAGCACGTCACGATCTAAGGAGGGAGTTTGACAATGTGTGTCAGATGATGCATGGTATAGGAAACAAATTACTAAAGGAGGAAGGGTTTTTATCCTTGATTTGATTTCCGTCGATCTTGTTTTCCGTACTGAGTACCAATGCCACCGACGCCTAGATCCTACCTATCGACCCATCAACTCATGGACCGGGGACCAACGGCTTAAAAGGGGACCAATGCGAGGGGGGCGACACATCTAAACCTCAATTCTAGATGCTCAAAAAATCTCACACTAGCGAATCAATCTTCGAAAAATCATCTTTAATTTCTCGCATCTACTTGCATCGCACTTCATCTTTATGCAAGAAATCTTCAAAATCGACATAAATCTTCCTTCTATCTACTCAGCGTGCGTGCAGCTAGCCACAGCAAAACACAATCTTTTCTGCATCGTAGATAGAGTCGTCCCCCTCGGACCAATGGCTGTAATTTAACTAACGATGTGAACTTGATTTTGCTCTAAAGTGAGCAGGGAACGGGCAACACACGGTACGAGTATTTGGATGGGTCATGACAAGATTTTTAATCGATATTCGTCGATAACGTCTGCAATGCGAATTCACTACTATTAACTACCCTAGTCATCATGATGACAGTTTCAAAATCAATAAAACACTGCTCTATGAATGAAGCATATAACAGACATATACAGCCCATAAAACTATAACAGTAACATTTTTGCTTGATTTCCTATTCTAATGGGACTGTTATGCGTTTATGGGTAGTATATATGCCCATAAAACTATATCAGTCTGAAAAAACAGCAAGCCAAGAAAAATGCGGTTGAAAACTTATTTGTCCGTAAGCTCTTACGGATGAGACAACCTATGTAGTTTTGGTATCTTTCACGATATTTTCTGTAGTGCACAATGTAAAATGCCGGTAGTTTACAATTGATTCTAATGAATAACTTATATCTGACACTTAAATCTAAATGTAGTCACTCATTAAAATTTGGACGACAGCAAACGATGACGAAATCTGGAGGCATTGATGTCAAAGTCAAATAAGTCAGATATGTACTTCGTTGAATTGATGAATCATGGCGACAAAGGAACTGTTTGAAGCATAGTTGTATGTACTTCTTCATGTAGCAAGGCTCTCGGACGGAGTGTTTAGGCAGGAGCATACAGATTAATTTTGGCCAGTAACTTAGGCACATCATATTCTGCGAGCAAGACTTTGAGATCTTTGAGTATCTGACGAATTTGCGTTGAACAGCTTCGAATCGTGCAATCCATACTGCTTGGTAGGGATTCTAGACAACACTTAAGCGTACCAATGAACAGTAAAGGGCTTTAATTAAAACACAGAGGATCACAGAATGCCTTAGAGATCTTGAACATGAATCCAAGCTGACGATTTGCTTAGTCGATCGTGGTTGAGAAATGGAGAGTGTAAGTGAGCTTTTCATCCAACATGACACCGAGGTCTTTAACGTGATCGACACGTTGAAGTGCAGTCCCAGCAACGTTATATCAAAAATACGGCAGTCTTAGTTAGACGGAAACTAATTACGCAGCATTTTGAGAAGCACAGGACCATAAAATTACGTTCACACCAATCATTAAAGATTTCCAGAAGGTTTTGTAGTTCTAAACAGTCAGCATACCCTCGAACGGCTAGGTAAATCTTCCAAGTCACCGACGAAAAACAATTTATCTCCACGTAGCAGAATGAACGTTACATCGTTCACAAATAAAGAGAAGAGCAGTGGTCCCAAAGTGCTACTCTGTGGAACTAATGATTTATTCGAGAAGCAGTACGATGAGTAGTTTCCAATGCATACAGTAACTTCCCGTTACACGAGGTACGATCTAAGCCAGCTGCAGAAGGAAGCAGAACATCCAATTTTGACGAAGAACTACGTCTTTGTCGACTATACTGCCGTTATACGCATAAGAGTCCCACAGTGCATAAGGATTGCATAGAACATGGGACAGTTATGCATATAACGGCAGTATACTGGGGTGCAAATCAAAAATATATGTGTGGTGAAATAGTGTTAGGTTTTGAACGTTTGTAACTTTGTCATTTATAGATCAAATTAAAATCCAAATACGCCAATCGATTTGCGATTAACGAATCTGCGAAAATAAATACTTTTTCAATTTTTAATCAAAAAACTTTTGAACAATGCGCAAATGATAATTTTATCACTGTTTTCATGAACTAAACGTTTTCCCCAAACCTAGTTATCATAAACGAATACCTCTTGATTGCACATCATTCTGCTTGAACAACCGAATAATCATTTCAAAAGAAGGAAAAATGTTCTATTGAGAATCTTAGTCACAGTAAGCTATTAGCCTACCTCCAAGGCAATTATAATGGTAGAAAACAACGAGCAGCTTTCAAAAGAAGAAAATCGAAGCCATTGCTTATTTTATTCATAGTGCCAAAAAATAACTAAACTGTTGAAGTTTAAGGTGATTCCTTGTAGAGGCCACAAATGGCCACCACGTTAGCTATACAAGCACTTCCACTTAGAAATTTCAATTATACACATCTCGTAAATTAGTACCCCATTTCACCTGAAATTGCTACTTCATGTATGCTGCAGTACAGCACACGTGGAGTAACTGTTTCATTGTGGTACGAATCGTAGCAGCTGATATTTGTGCACTTAAAGTTTCGAAGTGGTACGAGAATAAGGATCTCACAGCGAAACACCTTAAAAGAAGAAAACATTTATAGCAATGTCAAATTTTGAATTAAATATTATAAAATTGCCTGAAACTTCCAATGATCCCCTATATAATTATGTTTATCTATTCCGAGAACATTAAAAATCCAGGTATTAAAGACTCTTTAGTAAATAATGAAAGATAGAAACAAATAAAATCGCAGTCAAAGTCCAAACTGTCTAAATAGAATCCTGAATTGTTGAATATCTTTAAAATTTCCAGAATTTAGAATTCTCATAAACTCCGCTGAGTCTAAGTTTGGTTACATGGCAAACATATGTCAAACAATTTTCGGCCAAATGCTCTCTGTATTGCAAGCTCGTTGATACCCTGTAGGATGCTACAGTTTCATAAAGAGGGCGGTACCGTAATCCTGAATCCTAAGTAGGGTAAATGTGCTAGTTCTAGCACTGCTCCAGTTTTTGGCCTAGGGCCTAAATAAAATTTCAAATAAATATTCATAGTTTGTTTTTGCGTAGATAGGGTAAATGACGGCTTCGGCAACGCCTTTACCGTAATCCGACGGCAAATAGATCAAAATACGAAACATTTTTTTCAATGAATGGAAGTAACCCTGATCGCAGATAGGCCTTACGATTCTGCGCGCTTGATTTGATTTATTATTGCTTGGCTAATCCCAAAAAGAAATGTTTTTTAAGCGTGTATTTATTCATTTTTCCATCAATTGTTTCGAAATATACGTTATAACAAGACATAATTCTTTTTTATATGAACCACCCTAATGGTTCGTGTTTGTTCGATTTGAGATTTCTTATGTTCAAGATTTAGTACAAGATAATTGTAATTAATTTGTGCATCCATGCAAATTTAACAATTATTTTGTGTTTTTTTTTCAAACTAATTCTGTGTCCAATCTTCTGCTTGCTCATGAAAAATATAAATTAATTCTTATTTATCTTTCCTCATTTTGTTTTTCTTGAAATTTATCTCTTTTACCTCTCCTCTGGTGGTGGGTCAACTATGTAGTTAAATGTAATGAAAAGTGTAAGTTTACAACTTGTAGCTTTCGATATAATACATGAATTGGTTCAAATTTTCTTTTCTTATGCTTTCCATTTTCCCGAACAGAGATTTTGCTGCTCTCAAAAAAGATGACATATACTACAACAATGAACTAGCATTCAGCATTGCCGAAAAGCATCTCAGCATACCCTCGCTGCTGGATCCAGCTGATATGCTCAAGTACGAAGTGCCTGACCGATTCTCAATACTAACCTACCTGTCGCAATATTACCGAGTATTCAGTAATCAAGGTTCGTAATCGGAAAAAATGTTTCCCAAGCCTAGAAATTCAAATCATTCCCATCCCTTTTTTTTGTAGAACCGACCACTACGAACAAAAAAACAGCAGAAAAGGAAGCCAAATCCGACGGATTGGATACGAAGGTAAGTGGAAACAGCTTTCTGTCGCTGGTGCTGTAGCTTCTTTTGTGTTCTTATCGGCTAGTATGGCGCTGCTGGCTCATACAAATCACTGGGAAATATTAACTGTACGTGATCAAATTACTAACATACCCCATGTGTTCCCCGTTTACGTCTACGTTGCGAGGCTTACCATCTTCATTACCATGCAACCATATTTTATGTATCGGAACAAGTGTGTTAGAAGTAGAATATAATGTTTGTCGTCAATCGAAAAAAAAAATAATATTAATCCATAAAAAGTTTAGATTCGACATCATTCTAAATTTATCATTTTCATTTTTCATCTTTGCTGCTCGATTTTTGTTCGGTAACTGTAAAGCTAACAAAATTTCGTATATCAAAAACCACTATTTCCTCGCTTACCAACCCAACAGTGTTCAAGTCGAATCGAAAATATTAGCAATAACTCAATTCAACTGCGAAAAAAGAAAACTGCCACCAGTCCTCGCACGCAGAACACCAGTCAATGGCGCACTCAATTAACAACCTTCACTCGGAAACATTAATCGGATCTTGGCCTCGAAGTCTCTGGTAGAACAATCACAATTGCCACCGCGACAGCGAATAACCATTAGCCACATTTTGCTCACGCGTGTTTTGTTTCTTTTTCTCTTTCTCTTTCTTTTCATCTCTTCATAATTGTAGGAAGATAATAGTTTGGATATTGTGGGTCAATATAAGCCAGAAATTTTCTGCTAAAAAACTACAAAACAGTAAAATAAATAAGTTAAATATACATATAAAATACACATACAAAACAGAACAAAGTCTCGAACAAGACCGAACAAACAAGCAGAATCTCATCAATAGGTCGTATCCGGCATTTCAACGTTATTTAGTAGAAAATTCAAACATCTCTTATTCCCGGCTGAGTCGTGTGGTGATAATACAGGTAAATTCTTTTTTTTCTGATCTGAATAACAAACGTTTGATTTTGTTGTGCTAAGTAGCGGTTGTGTTTTCTATAGTAATAACCTAGTGATTTTTTTCCGATATTTTTTGTTACACAAGTAGGAGTTGTGTAAAAAAGGTTTTTTTTTTCGTATCATAATCATCCTCATAAAGAACTAGTGCTTTGAGTGTATGTTGTCTTTATTGCTTTTACGCTTTTGTGATATGTTACGTCAACTCATGATCAATATACGGTTGTGATATTTTATGTAGCTTATATATTTGCTCAGTCAGTTGTTTACTGTTTAATACTCATTAATATAATCGTGAAACCTATTTTTTAATTGAACATCCTATTATCTAAATTATGCTGAATGTTGCTATGTACTACTTTTAATTCCACTATGGGATTTGCATTTTTTTAATAGAATCTATGCAATTTATTTAGCGGGAAATTTGGTGTAAACATTGAGTTTTTACGAAATATATATTTTTTTTATATTATGATAAATTATTAAAAACCCATATAATTAATACCATAATAAGAGTATCCTAATCGGACGATATGGAAAGTACAATGGAATGCTGAATAACAATCATTACTTCTTACAATTTCAATCAAATAATTTATCCATTTGAGTCAGAAGTGGGTCGAGGGAATTTTAGGATTTATAACATGCATACGCCAGGTAATGCGAACAAACAGGCTTTTTGATGAAGATTTATTCGCATAGCTTGACGTTAAATCCAGGCTACTATGTTCGAAATAGTATCAACATTCTTGGTAACGTTCAAATTGTGAGATTTTCTCCGACACTCAACAGTTTCAGTGGTTGTATTAAGTAAATAAATTTGGAAGAATTGAAAAAATGTCCGGAAGTGGTGCCCTGAATTTGTTGCTGACCTATGCTAGTTTCGACTCGGAAGGTGAAAATGGTCCAGTGCAGTTTGCAGTCAGTGCTGACTAAGGGCTGGGGTATGAATGAACGCAACTCAAATATGTGTTAGATTCAATGGCCTTGTCAGTTCTTTTGCTACAGTTTTCCGAGTGAAGTAGTTCCAGTATCAAGCCTGAAAGTGGAAAATCCTGTTATGAAGCTAGCTGAAGATAGAGAAGCAGATTCATGCCAATCAAAATCTACAAGGGACAGCCCTATGGGGTTGTACACAATGGTGAAGTAGGACTACGTGGTCTTCTATAATAAATGTTATTTGTTTACTGCAGCAGGGGTTCTCTCTGTGTATACTATTTAGTATGACTATGATTGCACTGAAACCTTTTGATATGAATTTTAGCTAGGAGAGTTTAACTCTTTTGGAAAATCTTGGTGGCCCTGAAAAGGGCCGATGGTAGTATAGGCTTAAAGCCTTTGGAATATGATGATGACGTGTAGACAGCTCGATCAGCAAATCAGTTCACTCGCAACTGGGCACTCGCAAGTGTCTCGACCCGTCTGCTGCTGGACAGGGGTTGAACTGGTGTCTGCGATAGGTTGAAAGGCCGCAGAATCTCCCTGCTGATGCTCCTCCCCTTTTAGTTTTTCTCGTTAAACTCCTTCTCTCTACAAGTTGGTAAATCTTAGCCTTTAGCAGAAAGACGCTTAACACTTTTTTCGACGAATTTATGATCCTGTTTCACGTCATGCTTCTTCTCCTGTTCAGATTAAACAGTACTTTTATTTATTTTCTCTACTGCGCTAAATCAAACGAGTAGAAATAAGAATGGATGTCGGTTACGCGCTGGAATAATTGAAAATTTGAAGAATATTTAATCGAATAGCTGAAAAAAATCGTTGCGATTAATCGTTAATCGAATAATTGGACTTTTAGGCATCCCTAGAAAATAGTATAATAGTGTGTGCAAGATGTTACGCAATTCCTTCCTCGTTATTCGCACACGCCCGAAGATCGGAGGCGAATGCCACTTCGACTTGTTTCGTCTACTAACGACTCTCTGATGACAGTGTTGGGGAAGCAGCAATGCTACATCGACATGTTTCGTCTAGAAACGATTCTCTGATGACTGTGTTGAAGAAGCAGCATATGCATGTACGTAATTGATGGATTTGTTAGTTATTCCGACGCTATTGGATAATGCTTGACATTTACCACTTTTTCAATAGTTTCCTTTTAAAAATCAACAGCTGGAAGCATTGCTATCGGTGCGTGGAAATATTTCTGATAGATTGGTGATAAAGTTATTGAAATTAGTCCAGGGGCAGCTGAGTTATTAACGTCCAAAATCTTTCATAATTTCGTTACATGTTCCATTTTCAGTTTTCACAAAGTGTACCCCCATATAGAAATCACAGACGTAGTCCTGTATGTATATGTGTGTATGTTTTTTTTTTCTTTATTTTTGTGATTTTTAGCCGTAGGCTAGTTCATCACATCAATGTGTGTATGTATTCACCCCCACTGGCCGGCAGTGGTATTATGGAAAACAAATTGCTTACAACAATCCTTAATGTAATAATTTAAAGCAAGTTTAGTCCGGGAGTTAGAAAGCGATAGCTCTTCTGCAGATTCAGCAACCCATTTCAGAATGCCTGGTAATTCACGTCCATTCCGAGGTTACTTTCACATACAATAAGCCCCGCATGTAAACACTACCGTTATCATATGAATAATGGTATTGCAAACACACTTCCAGATTTCGAAATGTGATGTTTCGAAACCTGGCGCGTATTTAGTAATATATGGAAATATGCATTTATGATTGATTTATAATTAGATTTTTTTTTTTTTGTTAATTACTTTATTTGTACAGGCTCATTCGAATAAACTTTACAGAGCCAAGTTATCATTTTCTTTACACATTATAAATGTCTTAAATCTAAAATTAAAGGATTGGAACCGATTACTCGCGGTCTTCTCGAGGTTAGTGGATGACAATTGTTTGGATCGGGAGAGGGAAAAGGAGATTTGGAATATGATTTATGATTCAAAAATTTCACTATTTCTAAAACAAATACTTAATCCTATCGACGTTATATCAACTCTGTAATTATACAATTATTACAGAAACAAATCTACAAAAAAAATACACACACACATACAAAATACAAACCGAACACAAGGTTAATAAAACTTACAATCTAATGTTAATATTCTTAAAGTAAACATATATGAGTTTCATAAACTCCAGATCGCGTCTAGCCAAAATATCCCGAACTGGAACATTAGGTTGTCTACCTCGAGCCCGAAGGGAATCGTACAACTCGGATCTGACTCCGCGGTGCTCAGCAATAATGTGATCTGCGTCCTGGTAACCTTGTCCACATTCACAGAGATTGCTGTCCTTCAGCCCAACACGGAACAAGTGAGCGTTTAACGAATAGTGATTGGACATGAGGCGAGACATCATACGAATGAAGTCTCGACCCACATCCAACCCCTTGAACCAAGAACTCTTCGACACCTTAGGGATGATCGAATATAGCCATCGTCCCAAACTCCCTTCACTCCACTTATTCTGCCAGCTGACGAGTGACTGTTGACGATAAATGAAGAAAAATTCATCGTAGGCGATTTGTCGATCGTAAATATCGCCTTGCATAGCGCCCACCTTAGCAAGTGAGTCAGCCATCTCATTGCCCGGAATCGAGCAATGAGATGGGACCCATGCAAAGGTGATGACAAAAGATCTTAAAGATAAAGCACTTAAAAGCTCTCGTATTTTCATGAGAAAATACGAGGAGTGCTTTACCGGCCTCATAGAGCGAATAGCCTCGACAGAACTGAGACTATCCGTAAAAATAAAATAATGATCTGGTGCAAGTGAGGCGATCGTTTCTAGCGTATAATGTATTGCCGCCAGCTCAGCAACATATACGGAACAAGGAGCTTGAAGCATTCGAGAGGCGCTATGAAATTCGTTAAAAATACCAAAACCAGCGGACGACTCTATTAGTGATCCATCTGTGAAGAACGATCTTGCGGAATCAACTTGGCCAAACTTTGCAGCGAAAATTGACGGAGCAATCATGGAACGATGATGCTCTGGGATTCCGCGAATCTCTTGCGTCATTGATAAATCAAAACTAACTGAATTGCCGAAGTCGGAGAAG